CCCCAAAACCCCAAAACCCCAAAACCCCATAAGGAATAATTTGCATAATTTTAGAGAGTGGTATAAAACTGTACAACGATATAATATTTAAAATTTTATTTTTAAGTAACAGATAACATATTAAATTTTCCAATGACAACCTCACTTTCACCAGTTAAGGTAAATTACTTTCAGCAAACAAGATTTAATTATGATGATAGAGACACAAAGCAGGCGAATAGCAAGACTTTTTCATATCACAGTTGAAGCAGGAAATCTATGAGCTTAGGCAGAGACAAAGAGATTACCAGCAATTGTAGGAACAGATGGCTTTCCTCGAGAAAAAATTCAGATAAGCAGCTGATGATAAGGTATGTAGGAATCAATGATTAGCATTTAAATTGAAATGGGGATAGATTGTTAATAATAATGTATTATAGAGAGTTAATGACAGAGAAAGAGATATCCAAATATCATCAGACCACAAGACTATCGATCAATTAATCAGAGAGCTCGATTATCTTAGAGATCAAAACAGAGACCAGTAAGATATCGAAGCTGTTAAAATAAATTTTAATTTCTTTTTAAATAGGGAGGCAGAGCAAGAGACTATACTGATCAAGATCTCTGAAATCAACTCAGAGATATCTTCAAGAAATGCCGAGATTAGTGAGTTGAGAGGAGATAATAACACAGTAGACTCCAAGATTTACGCTGAAAGAAAGGATATCGAGAGATTAGACCTTGAGCATAGAGATGCAGTTAATGTCTCCCACAAAAACTATTAGGAGATCGCAAGACTTAAGGACCTTATCAACGTCAGAGAGCTTGACAACAGAGGCTTCTCCACTCGTCTTCATGCTATGGAACAAGAAGTAGAGTCTAACAATAGAAGAATTGTTCACTTGAGCGAGGCCAAGGAACTTAAAGATCAAGAAATCAATGCAGCTCACCAAAGAATCAGCAGAGAGCAACTTTCTATTGGCTAATTTAAGAACTAGAATGCTCAACTTGACAAGGACATTCAGTACTTCGAAAGTCTGAACTACAAGCACCAACAGACTCAGATTGGCCTTAGCAAGTCAAATGAGCAAGAATACTTCAGAGGCAAGGACTTGATAGGCGCAGAGAGCGAAAGAAGAGCCATCTTAAAGGCAAGAGACGAAGAAATCTCAGCCTTGAAGATTGATGTCGAGCATGTGAAGCTATCCAATGCCAGATATGTCGATGACTCACACGAACTTAATGCTAATATTGAATCACTCAACCGTCATGTCGCTCTATTGAACCAACAAAACTATGAGGTAAGCATTAAATCAATAGTTTATTAACAATTATATAGTTATCTGTTGAATTGGAAAAGTTCATCGAGACTGACGAGCAAGTAAGAAGAACTCTCAACAGAAAGGCAAAGGTCGAGGACATCAGACATAAAGTTGATGAGGCAATTGCTAGATCTATGGTTGAGGTGCATAATAGAAGATCCCCGGAGAGATTCCAAAGAGAGAGCCCAAGCAGAAGAGATTCCAGACAATGATTGCAATTGCCTATTTCTATCCTAGTTAAATATATTACTTGATTATTACCAACTGATGGAGATTTTCAATTTTATTACTTTAAGATTTATTTCGCTTCATTCAAATTGAGTAATTAATTCATTATGGGGTTTTGGGGTTTTGGGGTTTTGGGGAGATCGGAAGAGCACACGTC